CCCTTTTCGGGGCATGCCCCCAACTCTTCAGGCATTTCCACTCTCAGGTTTAACCCCCTTTTCAGGCATGATCGCACCTTAATGATGCTCACTCTTCAGGGCATGATACCCACCCTTCAGGGCAAAGGAGCAGTTGTTTTCATGTGAGGTGACAGATGTGGATAGGTGTGGGCAGTTTTGGGTAGGTGTGGTCAGTTGTGGGTAGGTGTGGTCAGTTGTGGGTAGGTGTGGGCAGTTGTGGGTAGGTGTGGTCAGTTGTGGGCAGCTGTGGTCAGTTGTGGGCAGCTGTGGTCAGTTGTGGATAGGTGTTGGCAGTTTTGGGTAGGTATGGATAGTTGTGGGTAGCTGTGGTCATGTCAGCATAGTTGCTGATCCCTGTATTCCCAGTATTATATAGCATAGCATATTAGTATCATCCATGTGCTTTAGATACGAGATCCCTTGTAGGCCTGTGGCTTTGTGTGACGTCACAGGATACAGATGTGTAGGCTCATACCTCTGCCCCGGCCTCACTCGGCGGCAGACCATCCAGGCGAAGACAGGCAAGGCACTGGGCTCCATGCCTCATCTCAGTCTGACAATATGGTTACCATCCTACAAGTGTGTCTACCTTCAACCTACGATATCTCCATTAAAGAACCCTTACGATAGTCAGTTGTGGATAGGTGTGGTCAGTTGTGGGTAGGTGTGGTCAGTTGTGGGTAGGTGTGGTCAGTTGTAGGTAGGTGTGGTCAGTTGTGGGTAGCTGTGGTCAGTTGTGGATAGGTGTGGGCAGTTTTGGGTAGGTGTGAATAGTTGTGGGTAGCTGTGGCCAGTTGTGGGACAGGTGTGGTCAGTTGTGGGTAGGTGTGGTCAGTTGTGGGTAGGTGTGGTCAGTTGTGGGTATGTGTGGTCAGTTGTAGGCAGCTGCGGTCAGTTGTGGATAGGTGTGGGCAGTTTTGGGTAGGTGTGGATAGTTGTGGGTAGCTTTGGTCAGTTGTGGATAGGTGTGGGCAGTTTTGGGTAGGTGTGGATAGTTGTTGGGTAGCTGTGGCCAGTTGTGGACAGGTGTGGTCAGTTGTGGGTAGGTGTGGTCAGTTGTGGGTAGGTGTGGTCAGTTGTGGGTAGGTGTGGTCAGTTGTGGGTAGGTGTGGTCAGTTGTGGGTAGGTGTGGTCAGTTGTGGGTAGGTATGGTCAGTTGTGGGTAGGTATGGTCAGTTGTGGGTAGGCGTGGTCAGTTGTGGGTAGGT